TCTACTAATATCTTTGTCAAAAAAAAATTCTTCTTCTGTATCCAATCCATTTATTATGTGAACCGATAGTGTTTTGTTTTATTTTAATTTTGCTTTGGATTCGCGGTAGTGTGATAGGGGCGTTATTACGGATTTGCTCCGTATTGTTTCGTTTCCATTGAAATTTGGGTATGCATTGTTCGTCTACTGGAACACGGTTAGTTTGCGAGCTTTACAAGCATGAATTGTTTCAACAGACATGTTCTACGTTTCTATGTAAACATATATAGTGTTATTTATATACATAGTGATTTGTGGTTAAAAAACTGAGTTATGGTGTAACAAAACTATACTTCGAATCGTAGCATAAAATTCTTTGACCATTATGTTCACCAATTTTCCAATATAAAAATCAATATTGTATATGTAAACTTTGGATGATTGCGATATTAAAACAAATGAAAGTTTATATTAATATATAGCTTGATGTTTTTATATATCTCATTATCTTACGTTTGCAAACGCTGGAGCGAACAAAAAGATTTGATGTGTGCTCGCACCTCGCAGCGCTGCATTTAGATATGTACATTTAACTGAATGTTTTTAATTAAAGCGCTTAGTGATGTGACGCTTTCTTAAATATATTTATATCAATGAATGTAACGGCTACGTGTACAATTTATCTTAATAATATAACAATTACGATATTAACCGTGGGTTTCCGAAACCATATTTTGTCATAGGTAATGATAAAGATGACGATGTTTATACAGAGATTTTGGCCTCGGAAACCTAAGGTTAATAAAAATAAAGTGGTCACATTTAACTATCGTAAAAAAGTTACTTAAAAATTATTTTAAATATGATTGTGTCTTGGAATATTTGATGTGTCTTGCATCACAAATAAGTTGTTAATATGTACGGATATACAAAAACATTATTTTTAAGGATAAAGTACTGGAATACTGTAAATACCGTTGTAATTAAAACAATATAAATAATAACATATATTATAAGTTCCAGCTGTAGAAATCGATGTTTAATAAACGTTAAAAAATCGTTAAAGTATCGATATAATTGCACATCCCTATGACCTTATAAAAGTCATAAAACAGATTGGTTTCCTATACTTCTCCTACTCGTAGCGTACCTTTGTTCTACCTTTAATTCAATAACAGCTTACATTGTTTCATAAAATAAAGGTGGAATAAAATATGTTTGTACTCGGATATAGGATAACATGTTATTACTTATATGAAATATACTTAATTGAGTTAAGTAACAATATAATTTCCATAGAAATCAATTGTCATAAAGATCAACCGTCAGTACGTATAAAGGTAAGATTCGATGTAATTTAGACAAATTAATAAAGAAAAAAAATGCAATTACAGTTTGTTATTATTCTATGTTAGGAGAAGAATATATCAAGGATATATGCAAGTTGCATGTCTAAACAAAAAAAAATTTAAACACAGACATGCGATGCCCAATTCGCGCAGTTCAACTGATAAAAATAAATTGGACGAGGTAAAAAAAATCCGTGTTGCAGATATTCTGCGTGTATTTTAACTTGTTTGTCGGATGTAAATTTTGTAACAGAGCGAATAAATTCCGATTGGTCTTGTACAAGTTGAATTGCATTGTTAAATGGGATTCGTTTTTTACAACATTGCACCATCGGAGTTACATAAATAGTGCAGACAATTGTTCAAAATTACTTTTATATATTTTATTCATTTATTTCAGTTATATTAAAGAGATATTGATTAGTCTCACATTACTATGTTATAGTAAATAGGCTGTCACCCTATGTTTAAACCACCATTCACCAGAAAGGATATCCGAAACAAACCGAGCACGACTGTAAACTCCAAGGTGGCAGCTCCGCGAACAGTCTAGGGCACAGTGCGCTAATCGCCTGCTTGCCCAAACACAGTAGAAGGACTGTGGACGCCCTCTGTCCCACTACGGGGACGTAAGACTTTAATCAAGTAAATCAAGCCTATGTTTAAAGAAACCCAATGTTTTATGATCCGTTGAGCTGTTCCAGAGATACTTTCTGACAAATGTCTATCCATTCATCTAAACATTGGCATTTATAATATTAGTAGTATTTATTTATTTATTAACATATAAGACCATGGCATTGTTTATGAAACATGTACCATATTCCTTCGTTCTTTAGAGATAATTTGTATACCATGTATGCTGAAAAAAAAGGTTCAAGCATATATTAGAAGACTCTTAATAAATCTGATTTTTTTTATTAACTAAAATTTATAGTGACTACTTACATGCTACGCATGCTTCATCGATATGCAAGTTACATTACTACGCCCGATCTACGAGCTAAGGAAAAGATATAATGCTACACAAGTTCTACAGGCTTCGTAACCCCGACGAAGAAACAAAATACAATGCTACGAATGATCTACAATCTACAATAAGATACAATGCTACGAGTTATGAAATACAATGCTACTCATGCTATATGATGTAAAATTACGCTACGGTAATTTTAAGTGCTTGTTAAAAGTACAATGTTGTTTCCCTTATACGATTATAGCGATAGATACAATAATACAATGTTACGCATTTCAAAATGTAGCATTGTATTCTTCAATAGTGCTACAGACGTTCTACGAGCCGCTGGAAGTTTATTACGTAGTAAATATTTAGTCATAGTAAGCCAAGTTACGTAATGTCTATATAAATATTTTTTTTATAGTACGTATATTAATTTATGTTACAGTGATACAGGAAGTACACTGCCTTGCCCTGGCTTCATAGAGCGTTCGTTGAAGAGGTTCACTTTCAATGAAGAAATTTTCTACTCGAGTAAAGCCTAGCTCGGTCAATTTTATGTTGAGCTAACGACAGTCTGAATAAATAGCGCTGTAAGTAGACTTTTAGTTAATCGTATTTTTTAAACATTACTTAGACGAGCAACCGTAGTACCTATATGAATAACAAAGAGCCTCATTGTATTAATATATTTTTAAACAATATGACGCGATACGATAAATATACGTATGTGATGAAAATGAGTGTGTGAGTGTGTGTGGATGTGAAACAGTTCTTATATCAACTATACCACAATATGTGTGGTAGCTATTAAAACTTTAATGTCTATAGACAAGAAGTTCGTACATATTTTGTTTGTATAAACCGGAAAAATACCATAGGATCTTCACAATGGAATAGACATCACTTGTTTTTTTTGGAGAAGAAATGAAAATGTATTTCAATAAATAGAAAATACCTAAATACCAAATTTCCATTTACTTCCTTTTCTCCATGTAACGTGATTCTAACGTACGGGGCACTGGTGAACAATCAGTACGGTCAACTATTGAAAAGTTGGAGATCACAGATGGGGGTCGGAACGGTATATTCTATTCAAATGCTTTAGTACAAATATATGTAGGAATAGGAAACAGAAATCCAGGGCCGTTTTTAATCGTTCTAAAAATACAGCTAAAAAAATTACTATTAGTATAGTGACATTTTTAGTCAGAGTTAGGGAGACTCAGTTTACAAAATTTTGAAAAAAGCATTTTTTTCGTAAGCATTAATATAATTTTTTAATGTGAGCGAAACATGATTATTTATTAAAAGTACAAAGCGATCGAACAGATAATTTGAATCAGAAAGAAAAAAAAAATATCAGTAATAAATTTACGAGTATTTTCAAAGAAATATTTGAAGTAACATTGGTATAGTGTAAACAACATTGTAAGCTATGTAAGTTAAAGTTTGTTTAACATGGAGGCAAAGGCAAACCGGAATACGGTCAGGGCCGATGATATAGAGTACGTCTTGACATATACGAAGGAATTATGCATGAGGCCCGTTACCTGACCGGACCAATTGAAGGATAAATGCGACCTTCGGTTGCCAACCGTTCTATATTTACAACGAAAATGAGACAGAATTTTTTTTTTATAATTTAGCCTTTTTATTTCAATATTAGGGCCCTTTTCTGATTATGGGCCACCTCCAGTCGTTTCCTACCCTGCCATCTTACCCTGACTCTTTTCTTTTCCTTGTACCTAAGCAGAAAATTCTTGTTTCCAATTTTATCCTACTGGTTGAAGGATAATTATGCTGAAGTCCATCCAACACCTCGGTGTTCCCGCTGCCCGTTTGCTCCCTTCTGTTATAAAAAAATATATTTTTGTTTTAAAGTTTTAGCCAGTAGTCTCATTGTTTTATGACAAAGTGTGAGGTGTTATTTTATTAATTTATTGCTATAAGTGAAAAGACAGATTTTTTAATTTATTACCAGTAGCTTTTAACTTCATCAAGATCATTCTCACCATACTCTGCTATAGATTCATCATAGTTATCTCAGTCTACAGTCCATATCTGTATACATGTGTTAATATGTTATTAAAAAAGTTACAGGAGAAATTGTGGTTAAGCGCTTGAGTATTGTAGTCATTGTGTACGGAGCTTTACACGAGGACGATTTTTATTTAGTAGCATTCTTGATCGAACATCTTGTTTCTCTTTCTTGTTGTTCTTTATTATATCTTCGTTAATGTATAGTTGAGCATCTTTTGATACGTAGAACACATTTTTATAGTCAATATTTTAGACTGAGCTATAACATTTTATTATAGTAATATACCCGTAGTTAATTAAGACTCATCGTTTTAAATTAAAGTTTTTGTTCCGAAATGGTTTGTAGCGAGAGAGTAAAAATACAAAATTATTGTAAAATCATAAAATATTTTGTTCTAAAACTGTCTCTTTAGCTGTAAGATGATTGGGGATTACTACATATTTCAGTGTGTTGTGTTTGTTGTGAAACTTACTCGCGTATCGAACTACTGTTGTACGCAAAAGGAGCAGCGCAAAGTCGATGTGGGCCGGGCGTGTATGACCGCTCCGCAGATCGGGCCTACGATGCATGTTGTTTATCCGGCAGGGCGCGGGACGGGCGCGGCGGGGCGAGGGGCGCGGCGAGAGGGGCAGGGCTCCAGCCGGGCTCAGAGCACTCAGTCTGTCGACGCCTGCCCTCGCAGCCGCACGTGCCCGTGAGTGCACCGCTAATAGCACACCAATTACTGACATCCCGACCTTCAATCCGTGCGAAGGAGACGTCTATATCAAGGTGAGATATCTTTAATTTTTTTAGGATATAGTCCTTTTTGTTGAAAAAGGATTTTTGATTTATTATGTAAGATAAATTAAGCGTACGTAACTTTTTTATACGTACTGCTGGAATATTTAAAGCTCCGAATCTCGTAGACGTATCATATGTTTTCATTGTTTTAGTCGCGAGAGCTTTGAGCGGCGGCGGTACGTGGGGCGAAAGCTCCGGTAATGGTTACGTTTTCAGGGTCAAGACAAGGTCTTTTGAGTGGGCTTGTTGATAATTTGCGAGATCACAGCGCTACGAGCGTAGCAATGCGCGTACCAACACCGCAGCGGTGTTACTTTGGAATAGTCCTAGAGTCTCGACATTGTTCTTAGCTATAAGATATTTATTCCTTAAACGTAATTTAATATAAAATTACAAAATAAGAAATTTTATATTTCGTTAAATATAAATCTTTCGATTATGTTGAAAATGATTTTATAAAATCTTATATATCGAACAATTAAAGATGTTATGCCAATAATTTTATTAGAAATTTATCTGATAAATAGCGAAATATATGGTAAATATCAATTCTAAATATAAATAGGGAGATACGGAAAGCTAAGCTAAGAAAAGCTAAGCTTTTCGTATCTCAAATCTCAAGCTCCTCGGCTTGTAGCAATAAAAACATATAAAAGCAACAAATAAGTATCTTATCTACTGTACAATATATTTTTTTATAATAATGTTTCGTACAAAAAATAACTGGTCACTTACATTGAATAATTGGCATAAAATAAAAATAAAAAATTTGCTTCCCACCAAATATCCTGCTGTCGCCATAGTTCGGTGTTATGTAGTTTAAAGTGTATCAGTATTGAATGATTGGATCGTATGAATGTAGATTAATTCATGTCATTAATATTGAACGTATGCAGGTGACAGCGAATGATGTTCGGCATCATTCATGTCTGCATAATTACGTGTCGAGTTTAATTCGAACATAAATTTCAATTATTTTAAAATTGCGTATAATGTTGCAGTTATGTCTATGTACTATGAGATTTTAGATTCCATTTCGTTTATATACTTGTATATAAAGAATTTTATAACTCTTTTAGTGATAAACTTCCTTGTACATAAACATATTATGTGTAAAACATTGTCATATGTTCTTTATAATTTAGAGTACAATAGAAAGAAAGAGAATGAATAATCACTTATACCTTTATTACATTCCCGTAAAAGCCTCGTCAAAATCAGACCAATCGTTACGGACATTACCCAAAAAGCAGCGTACTTGCGGATAGACAGACAGACAAAAATTAAAAAATAATGTATGGCTTCGTTAAAAGTAACGAAATCACACGATGTTCGCTAAATACATTTTTTCTCATATTACAAACAGACAGACCAATTTAATAATTGTATAAATTATCGTTTTTACAAGAAATCTTCGATATTCAAACTGAGATAAACTGAAAAAAAAGGAAGCCAAATCCTGCGCGATTTGCTTTGTTATATGTTGTACGGTTAGAAAGAACTGAGATCCTTTTAAGTCGCAAAATAATGAGTTCTTTTAGTCAAAGGATTCGTAAAATGGTAGAAAAGAGAAACATATACACAAAGGATCTTATGAAGATTTCGATACAAAGAATAATCCTACGAATAAATAGGATTTGAGTATCTCTTACTAGCGGTTGTGAAAACTTCACAGAATGTTATTGCTTAGTTCCTTTCTGTTGATATATGTTTGAAATATTAATAAATGGTTACAATTTATATCACATGATCATTGAACAAAAGAAAAAACTGTACATTTAAAAAAATCTTAAAAAAAACAGTATCATGTAAAAAAAAATTACCACCCAATTAGCAAGCTACAATTGCTGTAAAGAGGTTCATCGCCAAACGCACGTACAAAATATGTATTGTCATCTCTTTTACTCTTTTTAAAAAATCAGAGATAATAATCTGTTTTTTAAGGGAAAATGGAAAGTTACTATGTCTCATCAATCGCTACAAACTCTAGAACATTACGTATACATTTGTCTCTCTCTTGTTAGTGTATTGCACGTAAAATAATTCTAAATCAACCAAGTAAATCCTCATGTCTAGACAAGTTGTAGACGGCAAGGCACGCGGCCGCCTACGCTTCTTGCTACGTTTATTTTGGCCGCCGCCTACGCTAACTCTACGCACGTGCACTAAAATGCTAATTAAACTTTAAACTATATTTCTCACAAACTCTGCCATGAGTTGCTACGGTAAAATTGTACGCAATTTTACACTCTTTGAAAAATAGATGTTTAGTATAACTGTCCTGTAGTCTTTCATCTGTAACTACAGACCTATTATAAAATTAAAGTAAAAATATAGTTTGATGGCTTTTCCTAGTATAGAAGCCACTAATTTGTATTTTCTGCTTCCTTAAAAACTTCGAGCGAAAAGTGAAATTTGTGATGAAATAGAAGTTAAAAAGTGCAAAAATATAATAACATTATTTTAAAAGAGTACGATGATTTAGATTATTATTTTTAAATAGTGTAAAAGGTTCTTGAATTAAAAAAAAGAGAACAAATTATTAAATTTACTACAGTAAATACAATAAGAGAAGAAAATGAGTTTATAATTATAATAATTGTTAGAACACCAGTTATAAGGTTGTCATTTTATATTATAACACATTACAGTAGTACGCTTGCAATTATTTACATACACTATTTATTTTCGTATACGTTCTTGTTAATTGATTTTAATACAATGGTTAATTATGATCAGAGTAGTGGGTAATTGAAATGTATTTACTTAACATAACTATTTATATGCAATATTATGTCATCATATTAAATTGGTCATTAAAATTATCACATCAAACTAATAAATGGATCATATTAATCCTATTTAAAAGTTTTTTTATTATTGAGTAAACTAGCGCTATTAGAGGAAGTTTGAAAGTAGCGTCAGTGATCGAGAAATTGAGGAGTAAAAGATTCGCGAGGTTTGGACATGTTATGAGGAGGGATGATGATGACATAAGTAAAAAGTAAAGACATTGAATGTGGATGGCTACAAAGGTAGAGGAAGACCAAAAAATGTATGGAATGACTGTGTGAAAGAGGATATGCGTAGGAAGGCGGTAGATTCGGATATGACGGCTGATAGAGATGTATGGAGGAGTAGTACATACTATGCCCACCCTCGATACGGATAAGGGCAGGTTGATGAGTAAGCTACCACTTGACCACGATCCCACCTGATGTTAAATGATGATGTATAGCTTAGTAAATGTCTATCCATTCTACTACTGAAGACCTCTACGTCATACATAAGTGGAAAAACCAAGTAAACTAATACTAAACATAACTAGTAACCTTTTATATACATTTACTTGTATATTAATTAGTCTAATTTCAAATATAAGTAACAGTTATAGGAAAAATTTCTGTTAATAGTGAGATTGTCTACACGAAATTGTCAAGGATCTATTCTAAACAAATTATAAAGACGAGAAATTCTTTAAATGTTTTTCCTTAACTATTAAGAGTGGTTCCTAATTAAATTTGCGATTTAATTTATACTGTACAGAGGGCGCTGTGAGCCAGTTTAAATATAAATCCTACAAAACTCTTCCGGAACGCTACAAAACGAAGGCAATGTTTTCTCCTATACTTCAGAGATTATAAAATAATTTCCACCTAAAACATGACTTATTTAAGTCGAGTAAAATTATAAATTTTTGCTGTATTAGCATAAAAACATTAATAATAAGTGTCATTTTTAGTAGTTTGTATATCTGTGTACGTATTTCTCTATGAGAACTTGACCTTTTGGTATTCGTGCCCCGCGACTGTATATCACGGGCCGCTACGGGTCGCAGATAACTTCTAATCTGACCCCAACACGATATCTAACCATATTTATGTTTAAACTTAATATTCACTTGCTCCAAAGTTAAAAACTTTCGAGAATTTTCGAATTACATAACTGCCCTTGTCGCTATGGAGGTTCTTACTAGTCCTTACATCTGTATCATTCGTGATATCTGAATTCACTCCTTTCTTACGACAATCCTCTTTCACACAATCCATACACATTTTCTTTGGTCTTTAGTAGTTTACATTATTTTGTTTATATGATTTTTCAATTTACATAGTACTTAGGAGTAGTAGTCATAGTAACAGTGATATACCACTCTGTGATACTTTTATTGACACATATTGTTGTCTTTGTTTTTCCACAGAGAATGAAAAGGACATCTATATTATTATAAACATATGGAGCTCCTATATAAGAGCATTAAACTCTTCAGTTGTAGGTCCCCAGGTTACCAAAGATAAAATGACGCTAGCAACTTGTAACAATAAATAAGAGACTTATAATGATAAGCAGAGAGTGGAAGAATTATGTTAAAATGTGATCATAAACTAGAAATTAAGTTAAAATTAAGTTAAGTCGTCAAATAACTTGATGTTAAAGTCATTTCTCGTTATATAATGTATGTAATCGCTAGCTGTCGCTCGCGACATCGTCTGCGCAGTATTAAAAAAAGTTAATTAGTAGCCTATGTGTTCTTCCAGACTATACATCTACGCATTCAATAATCCATTCATACAAACATTCGAATTTGTAATATTAGTAATATTATAGTAAGATTGCATCGAATATATGTATATAGAACATTCCTTTGTTTAAAATTTTAGCTAAGCCATATAACTTGCAAACAATTTTTTTTTATCATTGAATTATACAGAAAAAAAAGCGATAGCAGGCTCAGTTTTGTTCTGTGACATTCTATTTTAGAGCAGAGCACTTCAAACAACGGCATAGTAACAACAAACACTTGTCGTTTCATTCATTACAAAAAAGAATTGTATTTTTATACCGGCGGAATTGTTTTAAAAGAAATATAATAAAAATTGCTGTATTCGCAATAGATCTTATATATAAAACTCTCGTGTCACAATTTTCGTTCCCATACTCCTCCGAAACGGCTTGACATATTCTCATGAAATTTTGTGAGCATATTG